CAATTCAGCATGAGTCCTCCTCTTCATGCGCGGTTGCCTTATCGAATCCAAGCCAGTCTGCAAGAAACACAACCACTCAGTTGAATCATAGTACAACAGGTATTAAAATTAGCAACTGGACAATTAAGGGAAACCGTTAGAATCCAGCTGCCCTTCCAAATATCCGAGGTTCCTTTGAAAGCTAACAATGTCTGCCTGTTACTTCTGTGGAAAAAAAAAAGGCTACTAAACACTGTTAGATTGTCACAGTTTGTTTAGAATGCTTACTGGCACATGTGATTGTTACTTAATCGTCTTAAAAGAGGATAAGCACTGTCTGTGTTAGTGATCTCCGTGGTAACACCAGCAAATTGTCTCCATCTGCTTCCTGTATCTATGAGCTTGTTTAGCACACCAGCGTTTTATTGTTTGTTTTTTGGTCATTTCCATCATAATTTTGAAATAGATCATTGTTTTAAAATAATTTAAAATAATGAATCATGCTTTTTTGACATTTAAAAAAAAATATTTTTTACGTACTTTCATCTACTCTGCTTCCTTTTTTGGATGTTACAAATGCTAATAAATTAATAAGTTTTGGGGCAGGACAGAGCTTAATGTGAATAATATTGTTTATGTTGAGTATTTTGTAAATGGAATTGATGGCTCAATAGCCGTATTTGCCCCTCATCTCATTGGCATTATTAAAACCTAACCATGTACTGGCTGCTATTTGCTGTCTTTCTTTAAAAATATGAAACAGTGTTTAACAAAATGTTAAACTAAATGTGTTGAAGCTTTCCTAAAAAAGGAGACATGATATTTTATTGGCACTATCTAGCACAGGCTCCACATCTGTCCCTTTGGTGTACAGATGTGGATGCCTAGTCACTTACATTTGACTAGACTTTAGCATGTCATATACTGTTAACCATATTAAGCTTAAATGCAGGTTAATTTAGCGCACTACGGTTTCGTGCTTTGCACATCTGCTTCTGCACAATATGAACAAAGAAACAGGAAAAAAAAAACTGAATAGATACTTCATTTCCCAGCATACCCCGGCGCAGGACATGCCCGTGATGTCACAATAAGTATATATACTGCTACAGGGAAGAATTTCTACCTCCATTGTTACATTGTAACAAACGGGGCCGGGGCGAAGCGGGGAGAAAGGCGTCTTCTCGCTAGAAAACCTGCAAGATTTTGACACCAAACGATAAAGAGCAGAGCGCACCGTTATTGCGAGAAGACGGCGAAGTAAGCCCAGACGACTGAACCCGCCCCGGCGAGAAGAAAAGGATAAACGAACACAGATGTCAGCGGATTTCTCCATTACACCCATTTAAAGGCTTACATCAGGAAGACAAGATACTGAGGGTCTTACATTATTCATGCTGCACCGAAAAATGTTGGAGAATAAAGCGCAGCTAACCCTATGACGCCCCTTCTTCCTATCGTCTGTCCTTTAAATAGATAGGAATGCATCATTTAAATAAAACCCGCCGGTCTTGCACAGCTCCCGTTTTCTTCGTCATCTTTCAGTGTGCAGAACAATGAGCATGAAGCCTAAGTAGCCTGAAATAGCCAAATATAAGTGTTGCAAATTGACAATCACGCAAGCTTTCATCCAGATTACTTCGGCTCCACGGTTGCAGTCTGGATACTCGTTCAGGGATCTCGGTTTTGGCATAAAAGAGCGTCTCATAGGGCGTTGAAAGATTGATGTGCAGCTCCTATTGGAAACAGAAACGACCTACGAGTTGGTTGGAATAAGGGTCCCTGTTTCTGCCCCAGGTAAGTGGGTTTAGTGTTTCATTTACCGGGCGGTTTGCCATTGTGTCTCTGTGTAGCTCTTTTACCTCTGTGTGTGTATGTGTGTGAAATGGAAAGAGAGAGAGAGACTGATAGAAAGAAAGAGCCTTGCCTTGTCAGACTGGCAATATCTAACCTCCCCCAACACAGTCAGTCGGTATGTCCACATTTAAACAAATAGCTCCTCTAAACTGCGTGTCCCTGACGGGTAATATACCGTGAAGTCACACCTGTCGGTAAACATCCTGTAACATGTCAAAGGCAAACTTAAGTCCTGAAAGAAAAGCCTTAAATTCTTAAACTGAAATAAACATTTAATGTCAGACGTGTTACTCTGGTTTTAAAAAAAGGGCACACATGTGGTGTCATAACCACAGCTGCATCTTTACAGGTTAGGCCCTGTCCCTTACAGCCTGTCAAGGTGGTTAATTTTGTTGAAATTAGGTCAAGGTATTAGTCTTTAATGCTCATAATTATTATTAGGACATAGATTAGATAATTTTGGACTTTCCCCCCCTCAGAAGTAGTTCCAGGAAAGATCACTTAGACTGTATTTGAGCAGCTTTTTGGTATCAGCACATCCCTTTTCTCTTTTTAGCTGAAGGACAAATTGAATTGTGCAGTTATTACTTAAATTATGCTATAAATGCACGTGTCAGTTTGAACATTCTGCTGCAAGCACTTAAAAAAAAAACTGAATGAAAAACTACAGAATGGGAGTTGCTCCATTTGGTATGACATTACAATATGTTGCAGGCAGTAGCATGCTGCATAGTAAAATATGAATTACCTTGAGAAGTAGCTGGTTCACACTATAGGATGTATGGTAGTAATATGGTAGGTTTAAGGTAGATGGATATAGTGTCTCTATGGGATATAATCATCGGTGTTAATGTTGATGTATAATTATTTGGAATGTATCTGTGTGAATGCAGGTGCCTGTGTAATGCACAGGACATAACACAGTGTAACATCAGACATGTATTTAGCTGCTTTCATTCACCTTGTCTGACCTCTCAACAGATCCAAGTGATCAGCTCCCTCCCTCAAATTCACCCATATTGATCCCTCCCCCTACACTCAGTTTATAGCAGATTTTCTTTAGGGGTAAAAACAGATTGTGAAGCCACAGACATTATTTGCTTCAAGGCTGCTTGCATAAACTGTGCTTGCCTAGTTGCCATGGTTACATTTTCAGACTTGATAATTTCAAAGTCGGATTTCATGTGAGATGGGAGCCACACAGACGAAATGATGGAGCTGGAATACAGATGAAAGGAGGCAGGAGCGAACAGATGTCACCTTTTTGTTCTGTTTGTGTTGTCAAGGGCTGACCTTACATGGGAACAGTTTGATAAAAAAAATTAGCTCATTCTCTAAGTGATAACAGGAGCATTTTGTTTCTGTTGTAGTAAATCACAATGTGTCATGTGTTCACATCTTTTGAACACTGGTGCCGGGTATGTTTTTTTGTGCTCCTCTGTGCCCCCAGATACTTAAGTTTCCATGGAGGCAGGTTCGTCCCTCAGCCTCAAACGAAGATATGAAGAGGTGGACAACAGCTCTCCATTCTCTACACCTAAGGACTCTGACGATGACATCTCCAGCAGTGACAGTGCTGACAGCTGTGACAGCCTCAACCCTCCCTCCAGCACTACATTTACCCGTAAGAATCTCATTAAAGGAAGTCGAAAAAAACTGAACAGTTAATCAACGCAAGTATTTAGTATTTGGTGTGTAAGACTGTATTGAAAATCTTTCTCCCTTTTCCCCCGCTTTAGCCACGTCTATCCTCAGGCAGCACAAGCCGTCACCAGGGGGGAAACGCGTACGTTTTGATTTGGTGACGGTGTATTACTTCCCCCGGCGGCAGGGCTTCACCAGCGTGCCCAGCCAAGGGGGCAGCTCCCTGGGTATGGCCCGTCACCACTCCTCCATCAGACACTACACGCTGGGGGAGTTTGCACGCGAACAGGAAACCAGTCACCGGCACACTTTGCGACAGCACCTGCGCCAGGAGAAGCTGAATGCCCGCAAGATGAAGGTAGATTAGATGTATCAGTCGTGCCCCAAGAGGGTCAAAATTCAAGGCACAGTAGTATCTTCCAGCTGTGGGCCCTTTGCGTGTCTCCACTTGCAGTAGTGACTCAGTACATGTACTTCCGCTCTGTCCTTCAAGACTTTACAAAACTTTCTGTTTTGTGACCCCGCACAAAAACAGTCTAGCTGGGGCCCCTTTCCACAGTTCCCATGCCTGTGAGTTGCTAGGTGTCCCGCTGAAGACTAATTACCCCCATTAAACTCCTGAAACAATTTTACTTCAATAACTGTTTGAGGCCACTGATGTTTCAAACAAATTCACACAGATTAAAGAGTGATACAAAAGATGCATATGTGTTTATTTAGTGAAACTTTTTTCTTCTTTCCTCCCCCATAAATCAAGTCATAATCCCCTCAGATTTATCTTGTGACCCATTGGAGGGCTCCGGCCTCCAGGCTGGGAACCAGTGAACCAAACTACCAAAATAGAAAGTATTTAAAAGGAGTTCAGTTTGGACCAGCTGTAAAATGACGCTTACATACAAGCTAATGTGTATGTAACACTTAACCAATGTAATACAGCAAAAAGTTACTAATTTTCTCATGATAGCTTATGTTCATTGAATCCTATCTGGGTTTGTGTCCTTTAATTTAAGCAGGAGTTTTAGTTTTTTGAGGCCTTTTCTTAAATAAAGATCGCAGTACTTCCTTCACCATTCTCCGTTTGAAAACCCTTTGTTCAATCAGCTGCAAATATAATTGTTTTTGAAGTATCACTCTTCAGGATACTTATCTACCACTTGAGCTTAAAATAGGCAATCAGTTCCTCTTTCACCTCAGCTCACAGTTCCACGCTGTC